TTGGAGTTTTACTGTGCTATAAAGGAGCAACAACAGAAGCTGAGTTTGAAATCTGAGGGTAAACAACTGTCTAAATGACAGACGATTAAATTGAATTGAAACGTAGAAATTCGTTTTAATTAAGTAAATAGTAGTTGAATATCCCATGACTTAACATAGAAATATTTGCGAAGCTTAGGTTTATCAAATGTGGTAGGTATGGTACAATTGTAATATAAATAGAACCATATCTTTCCCCTTTAGTAATCATAGGCTATGCAAACTTGACTTAAAATTTAATTCGATTAAATATTTATGTGAATTATGAAAATAGTGAGGGTCGTCACAATGTAGGTCTTGTCGTCACAAGTCATGGCATAGTTAAATTGATGTCGTCACAACATTGGTACCACATACACACACATGTAAGCACGCATTAAGTTTGTTGCGGCGAAAGAATAATTGTTACATCCCCTATATCTATTTTAAAAGATACTCTTAATTCTGTAACCCGATCTGCTCATGCCCGCTTGTGGAGGCGATATATACCAGCTGATTTTGCAACCAGTGTACCAGAAATATTTATTAATCACCAGAAGAACGCGAGGTACACAAAAGAGATAAGTGACTTCTAAGATAGGGAGCAAGTTAGGGGTACCGAATGAACAGTATGTAGAATGCTTGCGACGTTTTAAATATTTGTAGGTGGTTCGAATAAAACGGTTTCTAAGCGTTTCTATATATTAGTATATATAAGTATTTGATTAGGGAACGTTTCAGCGTAGAAACTGTGAATTTTATAGAGATATGACCACACATAAATGTATTCATTGTTGACTATGAACATATTTTATTGACAAGTTTAGGCGAGCTAGGGGTTCCAGAAGAACATACTGCTCACAATTGAAATGCTGCTTAACCTTAACCACAGTTTAGTATTCTAATTTATTTCTCATACTGCATATTAAGCAAGTAAGTATTGCAAAGTATTTAATCGTGAGCTAAGATTATGATGTCGATGCAGATCACATGCTGAGACTCGTGACCGAGTCTGTACGTGCCGAAACGTATGTGTGAACGGTCAGAGCTGAGTCGGCATGTGTCGAAACGAAACTTCTTCTCGGTCCCGATAAATGTTCGGAATGCTGGGATTTGGAACGCTTTGCATCAATTAATAAATAAATGTGACAATTGTAATTTTCAACACAAATAATAGTCTCGCTACCTTAACTCACTTGTGCTATTACATATTCAAAGTAAACTTTAAAGCTGTATTATGTTTTATATTTAGTTGAAAGCCCTCTGTAAATAGGGCTTACGGTTTGGAACCAGTTGTCAAAAATAACATTTTTTACCAAAAATGAGGCAAAAGTTCACTAAAAATCCAAATTTGCATATTTTGACACCAGTTTAACAAATCTGACCACCCCACGTATCATTGCTGGAAATATAAAAGCATTTGGACTTACGGTTTCAGACTAGTTTTTTACCAAAAAAGACAAAAATATTCACTTAAAATCCAAATTTCCATATTTCCGAATTTAACAAAGGACCACTCGCAAGTACCTTTTGTACAAATATAAATATAACTGGTCTAGTAGTTTTGAAGAAGATGTCGTTTAAAGGAAAAGTTCACACGGGACATGGAACGCCGGAGAGACCCCCATACCAACAGCTTCGCTGGGTCATCTGCGATGACAGCAGAGCTAAAAAATTAGAAAAACTGCCCAAAATGGCAATGCTGTGCAAATTTTGCATTCAGTGATGGGATTCTATATCTATTACGTGCTGATAGCACTTATGTGTCTGACGTGAACAAAAGAAAGTGTTTGACTACGACATAAACACGACACAATTTCCAAATGAGGAAGACATTTGACTGCATTTGTATGTCGTGGGTAATTTCTATTGTTTTTGGTGTTAGATGTATACTAATGTATATTGTTGTCACCACTGAATGTTTATTAATTTTAAGCAATCCAATTTTATAATGGAACCATTTAATATCGGGGGGTACCTTGATAGCCAATTTTATATATATATGATTTTAAATGGTGGAATTGTAACGATAAGGTGGAACTACATGGGAGAATTATATCAGAATTGTCAGGCATTAATTTTTCTTGAACTTCTAGAAAACTAACAATTGCTATGAAATCTTCAATTTTAATTAGTTCAAATTATTTTGTATCTTTCTCCAGGCAACCCCTAGATGGCGCTGTGTAATTAAAAAACATTCACTGGTTTGAATTCCAGTGGATACTAAATAGAAATATTCATTAGGTTAAAAAATCACTTGTTTGTGAAAGGAAACTATATATTCTACTGTTAAATCATAGACTTTTTTATTAGGTTCATACTGTCTATCAACCATCCAAATCAGCTACTGGTAATAATTTAATCTGATTTATGTACATGCAGCGGTAAATTTGATAAGAATCATTTGCCACATTTTATTTATTATAAGTAATAGAGATGACATATATTAGTAAAATAATTTGATTTTCAATAAACACAAATTAGAAACATACATTAATCATCATTGATAAAAAAAATTGTAGCACCTGATGGTTACCAAAAAAAAGTTGTTGTAAAATACATTGCAGTAATTAGCCTGTACTAAGCACACCAATCACTCTCTTTCTTTTATTTTAAGGGACTATTCAACATCATCTGTTGTCTGTGTATTTTGCAGGGCTAGAGTGAATGGGATTGAATGTTTTGATCACTGAAGCAATATACGACCAGACAATGCTGAAACAAAAACATGTTATGTTCAAATATATCAAATTTATACTGCTCCTTATACCAGGGTATAAACCACTACTATACCAAGATGATAATGTTTAAAAATTACAGAGGTATGAAGTGTTGTTTTAACGACAACAATAATACACAGTCACCTGAGTTAGCCAGTGAAATTTGTTTGCGTCTAATGTAGAAAGAATATTACCCAGTTCTTTAATGCTATGTTACCCAATCTTAGAAAAAAAAAATTACCCAAAAACACTCAGGTCTAGAACAAGTAATATCAGGATAACCTTACATTTATTGAAACATGTCAAATTCCTGGAGAGGAATTAAAATGGTTGTATACAATTGTACTAGTCAAATGCTACAAGCTAACATACTAGATGTTAGCTGTACATAGTACATTAGGACAGTATATGATTCAATGACCCCTGACATCACTTCTTCAAACAAGGATTAGCTGAATTAAAAAATAAATTAATTTGTCAAATAATTTATTTATTCAACACTAAAACGAACTACAGTGAGTTGTTCTATGGTCATATAACAATAAAATAAAGATAAAATAAAATAAAATAAACTACACTAAGATACAGTAAAGTTAATCAACTACACAGAATGCTAAATAAGCTAAATAATATTACAAACACGCAAAACATCATAATGAACTTATACAGTACAATACAATACACTAGCTAATATTATTAAGAGGTAAAAAAATCACATTAAAATCACATTAGAATCATAATTATGGTGCAAAGAATATTTTTAATTTTGGTGGAGTTGCTCACATCTCATTTGCATACATTTTTGTATGTATTGTGCAGTTCTTATTCCTGAACACTATTTCATGATCGCATTGATTTTTTCTAGTTCATTTAACTTCCTAAAATTTAGTATAATTTCCTTACAGTACTAATTCAATAATTCAATTCTGTGTGTATTGTACAGACTGCAGTTCATAAGTTAGTGTATTTCATCTTCAATCTGCTTTGACAGTATTTACAGACCCTTTCATTCCTTGGAGTTCTGCAATGCCTGCCAGTTTCAATATGAAGTTTGTGATCAGAGATTCTGAACTGGCATAGGGCGTGTCTCAGTTTAATATTACTTATTGTTATTAAACATTTTTCCATTTTAAACTGTGTTTTGAATGTTCTATAATTTTCCAATTTGTTTGTTCCACCATTTACTCTGTTGTCATCAAATAGAGCTTCTTTCCATTTTATCATATAATTCTCTTTCAGTAAAGCAGAGATAGTCTTGGTTTGGAGTGGTTTCTTCTTTTTTATTTGTTGTTTTATTGCATTATTAAGATTGTTGTCACTGATTATTATGTCGACATTTTTTATCCACCTAGTTTTTATTGTATTGACCTCATTAAAGGTGCTTTTTATTAACTTGGGTGTCTATGGGAGTTTTGATCTGAGCCAGAATTTAATTATTTGTGTGTTAATTTTAATGGCAAGAGGGTCAATTCCCCCCAAGATTGCAAGCTTAGTAGCATTCTTTTTTTAACCCCCAGGAGTAATCTGTTTCAATAATATCGCTATTTTTAGTGACTTCCTCTCCCCATACTTCACACCTATGGCTAATGATGGGTGCTATCAATTTATCAAATAGGTTTAGAGCTATGCTTATTTTGAGGTTTGATACAGAATCGAGTGTTTGTTTTAGTACGAACTTGTACTAGTGTACGTTTGTTTTAGTGTTGAATAAATAAATAATTTGTCAAATAAGCCCCATTCCCTATACCCCCTCTAGGGCCAAACTTTTATTATCCCTTGTTTCGCGAACCCGCCGAATGAACAGGAGCCGAAAATAAAATAAAAATATTATTTTATTTCAGCGTAATTTCTCGCGCCCGCCGACTTGTAAGCGCAAACAAATGCTGAAAAAATATTATTTTTATCTTCATTTTTTACCACCCGCCATATAACAAATCCAAGTTGCATTTTCGTGGGAGTATCATGATCAAAGTATCGAAGTCTCACGCAGATGAGAAACAAGGTTATACATGGAATAATATTTTATTTTATTTCTTTCCTCCGATCAATGATCTCACTTACAATTCTTTGAGAATCACACAAATCAAATGGAAAAAAAGAATTAATTTTATTTTTGTCCGCTCTCCTCAAAAAAATTGCCTTATAAAAACTCGCAAAACAAGGAATAAAAAAAGTCTGGCCTAGATAACTATAGGTGTCCTTAGAAGGATCATACGCAATTAAATTGGGTAATGCTAGAGGATAGGGATAGGGTTGGAGTTAGGGCTATGAGTGGTATGGGGTGGTGGACCCCCCCCTGTGTTGGAGCACAGGAACTATGATCAAATTTCAAACAGCAACCAATATTCTTCAAGCTGGTATTTTTTTTTAGATTTTATTTTTCATTCCGTGTGACTGTTTTTTTCGAGTTTAATAAATATGAGCTGGAGCCTTCATCCCTTGTTTATTTCCTACACTAGATACCAGCCGATACCCCCTCATAGTAATTGCGTACAGTTGATTATAGTTCCTGGGCTCCGAGTGGTTGGAGGGTTACAAGTGTTCATAGCAAAAATGTCTGGAGAGCATTTATAAAATAAAAACGATTAAATAATGTTGGGCTTAAGTTACAGCTCTGTTTTACTCCTGGAGAGTATAAAAATCTATTTGTTAGTCCTCCGTTTAACAAGCTGTCGAAGATTCGGGTCAACGCAACGAGTCCGATGCCAATAAATATTCCAATAAATGTCAATAAATCCTACGATCATAAACATGAATAAACATGCAAACTGAATCGCTATCTCACGAGGCGATATTGGTTCACATACTGCGTCAGGAAAACGTACGATTACTGGTAAACGCAAAACATCGAGTACACACTGCAAAGAAACCGAAAAAAACTAACAACTAACCTACCAGCCATTTTGTATAATGCAATATGGGTAATATGTAAAGTAGGTCGTATTCGTGAGCTCCTAATTGAGAGCTCACAGATAGAACCCAATGTGGCGTGCGCATAACCCGTCTCGAACAGGCCAGCTAATCAGATCGCGTTACAAACTATACTTCATGGCGTAAGCGTGCGCAAATTTTATCTCAGCGGAAAAATTAATGTAACACCGCTTTCATGTACGTATCGTCAACTATAAAGTATAAGTGCCAGCAACTGAGTTGACTCATTTATAAGAGTGTCACTGAAATAAGAGCGACAATATATAAATGAAATGCCGCATCAAACAATCAATTCCACGAACATACCACTGTAAACTTTGTCCATGAATGTAAAATTTCGTTAACTACAGTCCGATTTCAAGTAAACACTGCCAGAAAACCAACTTGGCTTGTGACGAACTTACGCCTACATTCGTCGATCTGTTATTTGATCCACGCATGTGAAACGATACGCATATGATGATAATAATAATTGCTATATTGAAATTATATCCTTTTGCTGTTATAGTAATTATTACGAGTCACCATGCACTTGAAAGACATAGAAGATTCGAAAAACAGTCGATGTCGATGTAGCATTGCAAGAAATAACACATAAATATGAGTCGTTGACGACGATTTGCATTCATCTCTTTCTTTACTACAGCATCGGACCATATCTAGCTGCATTTCCCTACATCGTCATGTCGTACTAGTATGAATCGGTATATGTGCTCTTAAATTGGTTTGTGCAAAGCGTTCCAAATCCCAGCATTCCGAACATTTATCGGGACCGAGAAGAAGTTTCGTTTCGACACATGCCGACTCAGCCCCTCCGTTCACACATACGTTTCGGCACGTACAGACTCGGTCACGAGTCTCAGCATGTGATCTGCATCGACATCATAATCTTAGCTCACCATTAATTATTTTGGAATACTTACTTGCTTAATATGCAGTATGAGAAATAAATTAGAATACTAAACTGTGGTTAAGGTTAAGCAGCATTTCAATTGTGAGCAGTATGTTCTTCTGGAACCCCTAGCTCGCCTAAACTTGTCAATAAAATATGTTCACAGTCAACAATGAATACATTTATGTGTGGTCATATCTCTATAAAATTCACAGTTTCTACGCTGAAACGTTCTCTAATCAAATACTTATATATACTAATATATAGAAACGCTTAGAAACCGTTTTATTCGAACCACCTACAAATATTTAAAACGTCGCAAGCATTCTACATACTGTTCATTCGGTACCCCTAACTTGTTCCCTATCTTAGAAGTCGCTTATCTCTTTTGTTGCCCTCGCGTTCTTCTGGTGATTAATAAATATTTCTGGTACACTGGTTGCAAATCAGCTGGTATATATCGCCTCCACAAGAGGGCATGATCAGATCGGGTTACAGAATTAAGAGTATCTTTTAAAATAGATATAGGGGATGTAACAATTATTCTTTCGCCGCAACAAACTTAATGCGTGCTTACATGTGTGTGTATGTGGTACCAATGTTGTGACGACATCAATTTAACTATGCCATGACTTGTGACGACAAGACCTACATTGTGACGACCCTCACTATTTTCATAATTCACATAAATATTTAATCGAATTACATTTTAAGTCAAGTTTGCGTAGCTTATGATTACTAAAGGAGAAAGGTATGGTTCTATTTATATTACAATTGTACCATACCTACCACATTTGATAAACCTAAGCTTCGCAAATATTTCTATGTTAAGTCATGGGATATTCAACTACTATTTACTTAATTACAACGAATTTCTACGTTTCAATTCAATTTAATCGTCTGTCATTTAGACAGTTTTTTACCCTCAGATTTCAAACTCAGCTTCTGTTGTTGCTCCTTTATAGCACAGTAAAACTCCAG